GGCAAATCAAAGAAAAATAAGATTAAGCCTATCTTCAATAGTTTCCTGCAGTTCTTTCAAGTTGATGTGTAAAATTTACATGCAGGAATTGACTTGCTATCCTTTGAATTGAAAACGTTGCTATCTGAAGGCAAGAAGAGGCTCTGAATGACAAGCTGAACACATCTCTGTGTATCTGGGCTGCATTCCAATTTTTGACAGTAGGAGTGCTTTTCACTTACGCTAGCAACACCTCCACAGAATGAGTAGCTGGGCCATTTAAAAAACATCCTTTATGTGGTTCTGACACATATTCCTACCTCTGTATTCATTGCCATTACTGCCTTAGACCTCTGATTCAATTTCCCTTTTTATTATTATACTTGCAGTTATAAACCAGTGACAGGCATATCTCCAAATACTCAGAGATCAGCCTCAGTTCAGATAAGCATCCAAAAGCATAGATACTCATCTGAAGCGAACTACGTACATATTTCAGGCAGTTTCTGCAACTCATTCTCCTTACTGGGATCAGAGTCTTGATGGTGGAAGTAAATTTCAAGGCTTAAACCTATATTGCAGAAGTTTAATTTATTTTAGGACACATCAGCCAAAGCAGTAAGTAAAAATCCAGGGCACCTTGCATAGAGGATGTGTTGCGAGATTTTTTAACTCGTCCTCTCTTCCATTCATTCATGGACTAAACTATTTTAGGATATCTGTTGGAGTCTTCCTACTAGAGGAAGAAGAGCTAAGGCAAAAAAAATATATAAAATAGCACAAACGAAAAGATATAGTCATGCCTTGAAAACTAATGAAGAGTATTTAAAATTGCCTGAAATATTGAACAAGTTTCCTCTAGAACAAAAAATATAGAAAAAGTTTTAGGTGTGATTTGTTATTTTTCCTTGTCATAAATGACAAATAGAGGAAGATGTAAACAAACAAATTCTTCAACAGAACACCTGCCAGTAGCCTTTAACCAGATAAAATAAAAAATATTTATGTTGTCCTGCAGTAAATTGACTTTAAAATTAATAAGTAACTTTGAAGATGTTTCTCATACAATATAATTTTGGTATATGTTTGGAAGAGACTCTTCAGCTAACATAAATGTATAAACTGTAGTTTTCAGTTATATTTCCTCTGAAATTATGTAAGTATTTGTGAAGGCTATATATATTGCATCAAGCTATATATGACATGTTAGCATTTCTAAATTCCTTTTAAAAAAGTTAGTAGGGCCAACTATTATGCAAAGCCAATATGAACAATGTCTTAGAAATCAGAATATAAGGAAGAAGATTTTTAAGTGGCCTTTTTTTACTGCCTTGTTGCTAATAATGATCTGAGTGTGTGACCATATCCCTTGCAGCAGCAGGCTGACTTGATCGGCCAACCTATGCTGTTCTCTGATAGAGATCTGAAGTGGAAAGTTCAACACATCCTGGCATGGCAAATCAAACATGGATTGGTTTTGAGCTGCTCTTGTATTTATATTACTTCAGGAACACTAAGCAGATCCTAAACTCCTGCCAAGGACATCTGCTCTTGCTGCATCAGTGTTCTTGTGTAACTCAAAGGCGTGTAGAATGAGATGACAGGGGCAGCACTGAGCAGGTGCAACGTTCACTGTGTCACTTAGGTACCACTACCTCCCTTCATCACAGCTTTTGCTCGAAGTCACTGACTCCTCTCCCATGTGGAAACTTATTCTTTCACTGCTGTATGTTGCTTCCATATCTGTTCCTTAGCCTACATCATCCACTTCATAAACATGTACAATTTCAAACACTCGGTTCTGTTACCCTCTTTACAACAGGTGCCAAGCTCTTAAGCATAAGGTGAAGAAATAGGTATAAATATAGGCATGGTAATGTTCCTGGCAGTTTTAGCTCAAAGGTACCGTCAAGGTATAGTGGCTTAACAAACTGTTATCAGCTAAACTATGCTTCTCTGTCCATGCCTGCTGGAAGGTGATGAAGTTTATCATATATCTGAGCACAAGAGGATGCCTTGCATGACCTCACACTGACAGTTACAGTAGCTAAGCTGACGTGCCGTGAGCTGGTATATTGCTCTAAGTTGGGGGTAGGGCAGAGCTTTCTGCGAGTGAAATGTAGAAGTCTTGAAGGGAAAATTTTAGCACTCCTTCTCATAGAATCTCTCAGTGGGAACAAAAGCTAACATCAGCTGCAACTCTGCACCCACACACCTCTTATGGACACAAATGCACATCATTTAAGCACTTCAAATGTAAGAGATGGCAGGCATAGAGGCTAGACGGATGATCTCCCTCCCACTGGAATAATTTTACTGGGGCCACATGGATGAAAAATGTTGGTATGCATAGTAATTTACATGAAAGCATATATACAAGATTACTTCACTAAGTTCCAGCTCTAGATAAGGATGCAGGAGTTCATATCTTTGTTTAATTCAGTTTACTGGATGCTTTGAAGGGGGCAGGGGAAAGACGAAAAAAGAAATTCCATCAGACAAAAATGAAACATAATGAAATAGCTGAATTCCAGTCTTTCTTCTCAAGGACCTCTCTTGAGCTTATCTAATGAAACTGAACTACATTCTTCCCCTTTACATGGTTGTTAATGCTGCTCTCAGGTAGGAAAGGAAAGGAGATAGCATAACCAAAGATTTAATTTTGAGCTGTATCATAACCCAGCTTTCATAAAGCCCAACAACAGTAAAGTGTTTAATTACATTTCAGAGTATCTGATATAAATAAGATCACTGAGTGTGAGTGATCAATCTTTCCAAGGGCCAAAATATTTTGCTCTTCCTGAGCTTGGTTTCTGTGTTCAAGCTGAATAGGTTCAGCCCACATGCATTTAGAAAATGGCTTTAATTTTAATTTTATTCTAATTGTGTTTGCTGTTGTTAAGTGCCTCTAATTCCTACAAAGAAACCCCTTTTGCAGAACGACACTTTGAAGATTTTGTAGAATTATTGACCAAATCAAGTATGTGCAGTCAAGTAAGGCAGAGTTACTATAATCAGTGTATGAGAGGCAGAATTTATTCTATTATCAGTTACTGAGGGTTGAGGAAAGGCACATCTACAAACCTTTGTGCAGGAAAAGGTCATTTTAGACATCAGCACATCGTAGATGTATGTAGGCTAGCCTGTTTTATTTGACCACAGATATTTACAGCCTGCTTTGTTTAACATCTGTTACCACTTAACTGCTTACTTCACAACTCCATGGAAAGACAAGTCATCTTAGTCTGCAAAGCAGAAGTTACCAGGAGAGAAGCAGGGGAACTTTAACTATTTTACATTTCCTTTATTTTAATATCATAACATTTTATTTATGATATGAGAGGGAATTTTTCAGTGATACTGAAAACCTAACTCTGTTCAACGTCCATTTATTTGATCCATTTATTTTTTTTCAATCAGTTTCTATTTCATCCTGTTTTTAAAAAAGACCCCTTAGTATGATGTCTTCTGACCAGAGCTTCCACTGACCTCAGTGTGAGTCCATTGTGTGGAACTCTTCATTTTTTCTTCTTCAAACTTATTTTAAAAAGAATAAAACCAATGTGAGAGCGACTTTCAAAGTGATGGCTGAGTTATACACAATTTCTACTGGTGTCCAAGAGAAAATGATTTCCTGAGTTTGAGTGTTAAGCATGGAGCAGAAGTGATAGAACAGTTTGTCAGTAAAGAACATTATATAGAGCTATTTAAAGGTTGTCCTCAACCTTTCCACTTCTCTTAAAGCCTCTTGAGACCAATTTAAACTTTTCTTCTCCCAGCAGCCTACTGTTAGTTCCATATTTGTGTTTGTTCTCTCTATGCTATGGATGTAAGGTATCAGAGCCCATTATGGGGAGATCTTCTAAATCCTCTTTTAAACTCTTATCTGAGAAAGAGCCCTCAGATTCAGCCAGGTCAACCTTGGCAGTTAAAATTCACAGCAAGCTTTTTTTTCCCTTGATCTCTCTCAAGCCAACTTGCTACAGACAGTGGATTGAAATTTGACCTGAATGAAAACAATGCAAGTTTTATCATTGACACTGATCAGGTCAAGATTTTAAATACTTTCTTATATATGCTTTTCTCATATATATATATATGAATATGTATGTATCTATGCAAATAGGTATAGCTATTTAATACTGGTAAACTACGTGTTTGTAAGCTCATTCCTCATGTCAGAAAAGTTCTACCAATATGACTTTTGTCTGTTTACGAGGTATTATGAAGAGTGATATTTTCAACATAGCCTTCAGGGAAAAATTAATAAATATTGCAGGTGCTTACATGTGCAGAATTCTTCAGTGTTCAGACCTCTTACATGTAACACCCAAAAAAAGTAGCACAGATAGGTAATACCACAAAGACCCTGTTAAATTTTTGAAAGTCATATATTGAAGAATCCTACAGAATTCCTGATCTCTAACTGTAAACATAAAATATAGAAGTGTAGTAAGAAGTAAGTTACTAGAGGAAGTTGCATTCTCTGATCTCTTTTCTCTTATTCTAAACTTCAGCATGCTCATTTGAAAAGGAACGTAAAAGTGTAAGTCAGTGATGTGTTCACAGATCAGGAAAAGCTCACAACAGGTTCATGTAGGCTGTCAGTGCTCAGGTCTGGCTAGCTGGAGGTGTTATGGCATGTATTTCTCTGTCAAAAATGGTGTAACACGTGGATCATCAGCTTTTATTTCATGTCCAAGTAAGGTGTCATCATTGAACACAAAGTTGGAAATAAGAGCACAGCTGCTCTGAAGCCATTGAGTTTCACAGATTTATTATGGACAGAATAGCGCCTTCTTACTGCAAAATCTGCCTTCGCAAGTTGCTACTGTGACCATCGCTCTCTTGTAGTCTGAGCGTGGTAAATAAATACAGTGCTCACTGCTAATAGTTCTGTATTTCTTAACATATTTATGATAACTGTAGCTATCTCTCAGCTATTCTGTTTCAAAACACCACTTCTAGCAATGCAAAGTGCTAACTGAAGAAACTTTTTTTCTTTATTCCTTCCTTTGAAGACAAAGACAGGGGTTTGTTTGCTGCAGGATGGTAACCAGGAGCCTTTCAAAGTGCGACTGCACTTAGCCAAAGATATTTTGATGATCCAGGAGCAGGATGTGATCTGTGTGTCTGGTGAGCCTTTCTATTCTGGTGTAAGTAGTTTTTTAATTTTTCTTTAAGATGTACTTTATACAAAGCAAAAATATTCTGTGTGTATGTGTGTGTGTGTGTGGCCACACACGCAGATGTTTGCATTTACTCCCAAAGTTTGATTTTTCATTTTAAACTGTTAACTCTAGGTGTATTTTAATGTAACATCTTCTGCAAGTAAATCTTAGCAATACTTGTCTAAGAAGCAATGATGACATAATAAATAAGTTATACGTATAACTGCGGTATTGTTTCTCTGCCCACTCCAATATTGAAGCCACTGAATGCAACAGCAATGACTAAAGCAGTGATTTTTGCAGTGCGTACAGATACCTCATTGTACTTCAGTATCTGAGAATTGTCTGTGGAGCTGATAAGACAGCTGATGGATAACTGTTGTGGCAGGGCTTTTCCTGGTAGAATAATTATGTGCTATCCTCTGTTGCTTTGTTGCTTGATATGGTAGCACAACTGCAGACTTCACATGTGCTGCAAGGGTCACTGGTTTTACCAGCGCATCATGTTAATACCAGTGGACTTCAGTGCAGTAGTGTGGTTTATGTATTACTGTCTTTACATGATGTATCAGATTTCTTATTTAAGCATCCTATTGAATTTTATGGATAAAAAACTGAGCTTTGTAGTCAATTATTTGGAATATCTGTAAAATGTTGTGTAAAATTACATTGTAATTTTTTGGAACTATTGTAATGTGATGTATTTATTTAATTGTGGAAGATGATAGTTTATAAAAGTAAGAAAAAACATTTACTGTTCATTTCTATAGACATTTTTATAGATACTGTAATTACATTTTGTAGAGATATTTTTAAGATTTATGGGAAACTATCATAAACATTATGCTCTCCCTTTGAACTAAATAAAATTATCATAGGATTTCACGTTAAATCTTGTGAGGCATAATAGTGTAATATCTATTTATGCAAATGTTATGTGACCGCTACTATGTCTGTTTTATTAATTAATTGCTACTGTTGCCATATCTCTGTATTTGTAAATACAAGTATAATAAAAAAATACAAAGCAGAAACTAGAAATAAATTGGTAGAATGTTAGCAGTACTAACACCGTGGAAGATTAATGGAAAAGGTATAGGAGAATCCATCTCATTGTTAGGAACATCTCAGTGTGAATGGTTCTGAGTTTTCTTCTGAAAAAACAGAAACGTGCTATCTATGCTGTCTTCATGCCTGCTGGGCTTGCTTGCATGACAAGTCTGGCATTAGGTTTTCAGTTTCGTGCTGTACAAATACAGTTTACTGCTATAGCTGTTTGTGCTTCATGTGTAATACATATACTTCTTTTACCGTCAGACTGTACTATTCCTCAACATACAGGATATCCAGGAGCCCAGACAAAAAGAAATTATGAGTTCAAGCTCAGGCTACAGTTGTTTAGGTAGCAACACACGCTGTGGCACAGTTACTCCACCAAACCTTTTCTGGTGTCATTTGTTAAAAAGATTTTATCCCTCCAAAATAGGACTGTCATTATTGTGCTATAATATTTATTATTTCTGCTGAACTTGTTATTTAATTGTCTTTATGAAATGCATATTTTATTTTTACATTTCACAATAAGGTTTTCTCTTACAGTTTTGCTCTCATTAGCTTTGCAACTGCACTGTAGAAAATAGTGTTTGATTTGCTTCACCATTTACACTCCCTCTATCTTGTATGCATACTGAATGCATAACTCATTAATTGATTAATATTACTGAGGTGAGGAGGAGTTTCTTTTCTCTTGGAAGTGTCATTGCTAGGCTAGTGACTTTTGAGGTCTTTGCCCTGATTTCCTATGAGATTAAGATTAGGTCTTGAATCAATATATTCATTCCAGCTAAGGGTGACTGTCATTTCACAGTTAACTGTCCTTTTGTCACAGCTCATTTGAATCATCTGGAATCACGTGCTTTGATTGTATGGCATGATCAGACAAGTCCCACACGCTTCCTTTTTTTTTTTTTTTGCATTTTTTGCCTCATTTGTTGTTCCTGATTTATTAGGTTTTCTTTTTGTTTGTTTATTTTTCTTACCTCCTATTCTGCTTGGTTGATTTTGTTTTGTTCTTTCTGTCATTCTAGATGACTGACCACACCTATTTTTGTTTTACATGGTTTCCACAGAGCAAGTGATTTCATTAGTAAATGACATTGAATGCCTCATAGAATAAACTCTGGAGAATAAAAATAAAATTTGTAGCTGAGGAACAATAGCATTGTCAAATTTTACAGACAGTAGAAGTTCTTTTTAATCTGTTTTGATAAATAGACTTCAAATAGTTTGATTACAGAGTTTTACTTAATCACTTCTGCACGGTTAAGGAAGGAAGGGCTGTTACTATGTTTCTAGTTCAGAACAGTATCTCTTCTGTTTGTTGAGTCTGAATCAATTTGCATGCTCCTCTGTGCAGGACAGACTTTGAACAGGCACTTAACGTTCCAGCAGTATCCTGATCTGCATCCTGCAGAATAATCTAAACGACTAAATGAAATCAATGGCTCCTTAGGAATGAGGTGCTGCTTAATGTGAATACATGGGATAAGGACCTAGTTCTCAATTGAGAATGCTTCGTTTTTGGTGGAAAACAGTTCTAGTTTCCCTAAACTAAAATGGTGCAAAGCAACTGTTTATTCTTTCGTTGTATGCAGTCTGGAGTAAGAAAATAAAACTCATAATAGATTATAAGCAATGTAAACAGTGTTAAACACTAAAAAGGAGTGCATCTGTTTCTTTAGTAGGCTGAACAAAATGATCGTGCTAGTGAAGATCCTGCAGCACATGTTCCTGTAGCATTTCCATAAACCATCAAAGGTCGTTCAAACGATGGTGGAGTAGATCTAAATTTGAGCATCAATTGCATAGTTAAGCATTAGATAGGTTTCTTTATGTGTGGAACAAGAAAGACTTGCTTTCTAAGAGACAGAAGCATATAGTTGTTTCTGCATTATGCTGCTACTGGATATCCAATGTAGATTTGAACTCCAGTGCGAGTGACCAAATGCGGGACAATTTTTTTGTGAAACTTGGAACCTAGATGGCAGTGTTTTTACTAATCCAAATTAAATCCTTACATGTGGAAAGGCTTTATAGTATGGAAAGTTTATGCCGGAGTTGGGGCTTGTATTCCATGAGTCTTTCTGTGGGAAAATTGGAAGATGTAACTGGTGACTGTTAAGTCACGTACATTATTTTCTCCCCTAAAGATCTTCACAAAATATTTTTTCATAGTTATGGTATTGCTAATAAACAACTTTCTTATAATCATCATAAATCTCAATGACGGTATATCATAGTACAAAACAGGACTTTTTTCATCTGAAGAAAAAATGCCTTGAAAAAAACTGAATTAAACCATGTAGGAACTCCATCAATTTGATAGCAAGAGTATAGAAGATCTTTATTTTATACTGCTTCTTAAACATATTTCTTGAACTGCATGGAATTGCAATCGCAAAAGTTTGCTCTATGGTGTTCCAGATGACAATATGCTTAAGGCAACTCCAGATTTTTTAGATGTATAGATCAATAGCCTGAACTAAGTCCAACGGTAGGACAAGGGACAACAGGTACAAGGTGGAGCATAGGAAGTTCCACAAAAACATTAGGAAAAGCTTTTTCACTGTGAGGGTGACAGAGCACTGGCACAGGCTGCCCAAGGAGGTTGTGGAGTCTCCTTCTCTGGAGACATTCAAAACCCACCTGGACGTGTTCCTGTGTGACCTACTGTAGCTGATCCTACTCTGGCAGGGGATTGGAGTAGATCATCTTTTGAGGTCCCTTCCAACCCCTGACATTCTGTGATTCTGTGATTCTGTGTAACAGGGACTAATATGGACCTTGCTAAAATTTATGGTTGCAGGGAGGATAGCCTAAGATATGGAATGTCTAATCTGGAATATGACTCTTCAGTGGATTTATTCTTAGGAAAAGTTTTAATCTTTACATTTCCAGAATCAAAATCTTTGTTTTAGAGTTAATCCTTGAAATTTTTGTCACCTTTCATGAACACATGAAACTCAAGTTAAAGGATTATTGTGTATTATCAAGAAAAGTAGTTTATCTGTCTAGGGAGATATTATCTAGGGAGTTTTTTTTTTCTTTTCTTTAATAGATTTTATTTGTTTGCTAATAACACTCAGAATCTTTTCTAATGGTGTTTTTGCATGTGAGATCCATAAACCAAAGATGTGACAAACATATGACAAGATGGATGATTTGAATCAGCTACTAGTTTTCTTAAAATGTTGAAAATAAACTCTGAGCAGCTGGCAAATTGCTAAGTTCAGCTACCAGGACAATTTGCATTTTTAATTTTCTTAAAGGTTCTGTTAAAGAGTCACAGATTTACCAAAGCACTTCTAACTCATCTGCTGCTAACATACAGATGATTCTCATTTCTTTCTAGTAAAGTAATTCTATGCTACTGTGTAGTAATGAATTAGTTAATTAAACATTAATACTTAATTTTAGCATTTTTTAAAAATTAAGGATCTTGGGGAGATAGGTATGAGGGTCATTCATAATTTCAATACTAATAAAAAGGGTATGCACATTCTTGAGAATTTATAGAGCAACACCTCTCTGAGTAGTCCTTCATTTGTCCAGAGATTTAACTGAGATGGATACAAATTTATCTGAATGTAACCTATGGATTGAAATTGGGTTTTTCGGTAGAGGAAAAACCTTCATCAATATACATATTTTCTAAGGTTAGAGAGTAACACTGACTTAAATTGTTGAACTGTAGCCAGATCTGTTTTCTGGCATTACTAATCACATAGTCACTCTTCTTTTTCTGTCAAAGATAAGAACATATTATATCTCACTTCTGAAGTTCTCCTTTTGCTATATCAAATCAACTGTGTTGAAAAATTTGTAACTCTGTTCAAAGCCCACAGGGTACTGCAAAAAAATAAGTGCATTAGAGATAGGTTTTCAACTTACAAACTTTGGACAGTAATGTATTTTTCTTGATTTTT